CTCTCTCTCTCTCTCTCTCTCTCTCTCTCTCTCTCTCTCTCTCTCTCTCTCTCTCTCTCTCTCTCTCTCTCTCTCTCTCTCTCTCTCTTTTTCTCATTTTCTTGTTCTGGCTCTTGTTCCTCGTCGTTGGCTGTTGTTTGGAGTTGAGAGGTGCCGTGGCATGTGTGTTAGGCCACTGGTAGAGTAATTTGGTGAGGCATTGCATGCGTTGTTGGACATGAGAGGTTGCATGGTGCAGTGTGTAGTCCTCAGTGCTTCAATGTGGTCCGGCATTACCTGCAATGGGAGGTGTCATGGCCTGTAGTCATGGTTGGCAGTGCTGGAGAGGTGTGGTGTGTGGTGGAGGGAATTGGTGGAGTGGCACCGTGGCTTGACACCCAGGTTGGTGTAGCAGATGGATGTGAGTTGTGCACCTGGTCGTAGGGTGGTCTTACATGTGGATGGCAGCATGGAATGAGGTGGCATGTGACAGCAGTGTGATGGGTCATGTGGTCATTTGTGAGGGAATGTGAGATCACTGAGATGCCATGTGGCACCAGCATGGTAAGCATTGCAAGTCTTGGTGGATGATGGTGGCAAGTTGTTGAGTGGTTGTTGTTGTTGCAGTTTTCCGGTTGTTGTTTGTTGTTGTTGTTGTTGTTGTTGTTGTTGTTGTTGTTGTTGTTGTTGTTGTTGCTGCTGCTGTTTATCGCTTACAGCCATAATCAGGGCCTAGATCAGTTGGTACACCCATGAACTGTTGAAGTACAGATGCAATTTCGAATCCAATGCAATCAACTGAACATAATAATATAATTCTGAATTACTTGGGCTGGTGCTTCCACCCTTTTAAAACAAGAAAAGGAAAAAAAAAAACAGCCCCAATCAGGTGCTCACCCTTTTTTCTGCAGCAATTGTTCAATTGTTTGGACTCGGTCACCAACATCATGAGCTTCCAGCACCACCTGCATGCAGAAAGCATGGGCCAATCAGTTCGTAGAGCAAAAAGCCACCGGTCCTCATCATGGGCACAAAGATTGAGACTGCACAGGCATGTCTAGCAGACCCCTATGAGCACTGCTAAGGTGCCTGAAACTGTAAGCAAGCCCAATGTCAGCCATACAACGATCTAGACTTCAGTGGAGGGAAGAACAGAAGGATACACAACAGGATAAGACTGGGCAGGGTTTGATGATGTAGCGCAGGTAAAATAGACAAGGGCAGGGCATGCTACAATCTTGGGTGGAGTCTGGAAGGAATAATCGAGGTATAAAAGGCAGGTTATTGCCAAGGTCTTTTTTTTTTTTTTTTTTTTAACTAAGCTATGTTACCTCACACTACCTAACCGCTTATCTAAGTCCAGTTGTTTTTTTGCCAATCATTGCAGTTATGGTTTAACACCGACCTCCACCCATGTCTAAGCACCGCAGACTCGTTCCTAACCCCAGGCAATGCATGGGAGGGCTACACTCCCCCCAACCCTACCCAGGAGGGCAAGCCGACTATATCAGCTGGTGAACCCGTAGTGAGCCGCAGGAAATGGAGACCGTGGGGAATCGAACCCACAACCTCCTGAATGCCACTTTTGTGCTCTACCAACTGAGCTAGGCTCCCAGCCCACTTTTGCCCAGGTCATAAGGTGGTGCGGAGCTCCAGATTTTTCAAGTGAGGCTGTACAAGCACATGACCTTAACATTGCTAATGATTCACCTTTTCCTACTTGGCTAATGTATGAAAATGTCATCCAAAGTTTGCTGAAATTGCTGTATCTTGTATTTGCTGAAATTGCTGTATCTTGTATTTGCTGAAATTGCTCACTCTCTCCAGAGTTTCTCTCTCTCTCTCCTAATTCCTACCCTCCCTTCACTGCACCACCAGCAAATACACTAGACAGAGTCAACACCGGTAGTTGGCACTGAGTCGAAGAACCATCCAAAGGGATATCACCTGTGAGAAGCACTGAGAACACCAAGTACACACTGAGCCAGAGGTTCACATATGCTGCCAAGCAGCCATGATCTTGCCTGATAACAACAAGAGTGTTACAACACCCGACACTTGGAAACATATGTTCTGGCACCTTCCAAGAGACTGACTGTTTGGTTTGCTGGCACACTTGCAACAGCTTACCTGTGATATGCGAGGCCAATGCGAAGCATCAATTCCATTCAAGACCTCCAGCTCCATGCCCTCAACATCAATCTGTCGATGGGATACCATGACAAAGTGTAGTAGGAAAGGATCCGTTGAAAAACCCAGAGGAAAAAAGAGACACATCTTGCAATGAGTACATTGTAATGACCTGCCAAGCAGGGACTGAAACACACAGCTGATTTCTGAGTCTTTGCCAATGGAATGTATGCCTTGCTGAGTTTCCCGGTTGTTGCTGAGTTTTCTAAGTCTGAGTCTTTGCGTGCTTGCTGGTCTGCATGCCTGTCTGAGTGCTTGTCGGTATTGAGTGTGTGTGTGACCCGCGAGGGTACTTGTCCGTGTGGAAGGCCCAAGGGGCCGGTACTTACCTGTGGCCGTGACATTGAGGGTTGCAGCAGGGAAAAACACTCAAGTGGCAGGGAATGAGGCCCGCGACACTCAAAGCAGCGGGAAAACACTCAAGTAGCAGGTAGGCCGGCACCACACCAGGTAGAGGTAGATGTGTTGGGTACTCGAGAACAGAAGAAGACAAAGTTGGCATTTTTAGAGGCCCAGTAGTTGTAGGCTAGGTCTAGGCAGGTACCAGTCCAACCAGTCTGAGTCTAGGGCCTGTACGGGCAATATCAGAGTCTGCAATGATGTTTCCCTCCAAAAGGGAGGAGGTACCGGTTGCTTGGAGGCCGCGCGGCCTAGGAAGTCACTCGCCAAGAGGCAAGCAGGCCGCTATATCTCCAGGAGGAGCACAGAGCTCCTCCTCATTGTCAGTGTGCAAGTTTGGTGACACACTGGTTGGAGCGCCGGCTGGAGCAGCGCTTGCACTCAGCGCAGTGCTGCTGGGGAAGGAGCAAGGACCGAGAGAGGAGGACAAGGACGAGGAAGAGGGAGAGCGCCAGAGGTACTTACCTGTCTATGGTGGATGCCATCTTCATCACCTTGGTGGGCGCTGCATCTGGAAGGCCCCAGTTGGGGTAGAGCTACACCAAGAAGCTTCAAGGCAGAGTCAGGCATGGCAGCCTGAGCTAGAGCAGCCATAGCTGCTTTGTGTTGTCCTTTGCACAGCAGGGCGATGCCCTGGTAGTCCGCCATAGCCTCGTCCGGGAAAGGAGGAAGAAGGGTGGCCATGGGTATGGTGGACCTCATGTGATACCTGCAGTAGAAGAAGGATTCGGACATTGATTCTGGTCCAGCCATTCAACATTATTATTATTATTTCTTGTTTGAATAAGAGGGGAGGAGACAAGGAGGAGGAGAGGTTGGCGAAGAAGAAGGGCGTTATCATTGGTCTATGCTGGTGTACATCATTTTCTTCTTCTTTCTTTCTTCTTCTTCTTCTTCTTTCCCTCTCATTCCTCTCAAGTTCATTCATTTCTTTTTGCAATTGGGCAGCATTGTACTTTCTCATGAATGTGTACTTCGAAATTGGCCAGGATCATAACAACATAAACTAACAGACTGTTCGGGTGCATGAAGAGAGCATTCATCGACGCAATAGGCTCTTCTTTCCCCTGTGCATCAAGCGGCAAAATTGAGTGTTAAAAAGCATGACTGTGTATGTGCATGCACACTATTTGGGAATAAGACAGAGGGGCGAGAATGAAAGCATGGCACTTGAGGAGGGCAGCAGGAAAGAAAGCACAAAGGCAGGACAGAAAAGATGGAAGCAGAGAGGGGAAGATGGAAGGAGGACTTCGGGCGAAGGCAGGCAAAGGGGGATAGGTGGTGGAAAAGGAAGAAAAGCCCAAGGATTCCAGAAGAGAAAGGGGGCAGAATCATCCAAAGACATCAGGGAGCACACAGACAAAGAAAAAACTTGCCTTCAAGAGGTTGATCCGTTCCAGTGCCTCTTCGCATATGATCTACAAAAGATGGAAACGGGCAAAACATAATGCTCACACTCCATATCAGCCATTCAGCTAGTTCATGCAAAGCCTGCATTCTGTTTTCCCCCTTTATTTTGTGAAACGCTCTCTGGATGTCAGCTGGTCTAGCAACTGACTTTGACTGCGAAATCAGAGATCATGGACATGCAACAATAGCAGACGATGAAGCTGGCGTGAAGTCGATTCATCAATCACAAGGCACAACAGCCATTCTCTCCATGAAAGGACATACTCATTGACCTGCAAGTGATGTTTCTGTTTCTGAACACCATGCGCAAAAAGGTGCAAAACTTGCCACCCACATGGCATAAGCATAAACCAAATCAATGGGGGGAAATGACAAAGGACCAGGACAATGTTCGATGTCAGAAGAGACAGGGTAACACTGCAGAATAACATGCATCAAGAGGGATCCAAAAGTAGGTAGAAATAAGCATATAATTTGATGTAAAGAAGTGGGGAAAGGAACAGAATGATGCCAAATAGCTCAAATACAATCATTGAAGTAGAATGTGGAAACAGTGCTCATCCAACAGTTTCATTAGCTTGGAGTAGGTACCAGGTAAAGAACACATACTGAATCAGGGGTGGCCCGGTTGGTAACACAGCTCAAAGGCTCACACAAGAATAGGTACGATACACTGCCACTAGACTGTGAAACTGCAATGCTGCTAACGAGGAAGACAAGGCAGGAGGAAACGGAGAACGATGACCAGCGAGAACAGGAAGAAACGAGATAAGGAGGAAGATAAGGAATCAGCAGCCTGGAACTTTCACTGACAAAGTAAACTGGCGGCAGTGCTGTTACAGTTCAAAACAATTCAAGCACATATTTGACAACCAAGAATGCATGCATACGGGGAAAAGCTCAAAGTACTTTCTACCTCAGAAAGTGTCTTCAGTTGGCACTTGAATAGTTGGGGATTCCTGAAGAACTTTGGCACCATGTACGCACTTTGCAGTGCTTTCTGAGAGGTTACGGAACAGAAACAAGGAATCACTCAGTCAGTCCAGCAATTCTACTGTTAACATGATCCTATCATCCTCAGCATTTTTTTTCTTTCTTTCTTTAAGAAAGACTTTCTCCATTTCATTCTGGAAAGCTTCACAGCAGCAATCAGTAGGTTTCGTGACACTATTTCCAAACGATTGGTTCCCAATGGCCAATCTGCGGTACATGCAAGAGGACTAACCAACAACAAAGAAGCAGTTTGATCGCGCTACCAAGGGAACTCCAGTCAACGCTGAATCAAAGAGGGCAAAGTGGAACATATGGCGACAAGTGGGGGACAGAGACCGATGATAGTTGTCAAACTGGCAGGCTTGGTGGTTGTGCCTGAAGAATCCTGCAAGGGAGACAAGCCGGAAGTCAATCCTCCGTGAGAAATGGAGCAATCAATGCTGTCCAGGGGCCTTTTGGCTGGACGGAAGGAAACGTGTGTGAGTGTGATGTTGTAATTTCATGACTTGCAGGGGAAAAAGAACCGGACTGATGTTCCCCAGAATGAACAAGGAGCCAGGAAAAGAAGCTTTGGTGATACTATCAATCAGAGATTCAGAATGCAATACCCAAATACTCCAAAGCCTAAGCCAATGGCCCCATGCATTCATACCTTCTTTCCATGGCTACGATCCAGACATCCCGACAGGGATCTGGACTGGCAAGAGTCCAGTGTCTGTAGCTGGGGTAAAGAAAAAATTGACCAGGGAGCGCGGTTTTTTGAGTCCTGGGGTGTCACTCAAAAATATTAAACGGGGCCTGTCTGCCATGCAGACAGTTTCTGTCGGCTTTGTGAACTTTTTCACACACACACACACACACACACACACTTCACACCACACAGACACACACACTGTTACATGCTGCACCTGCATATGGGCCCCATTTGAGGGGCCCGATGGTTGCTGAGGGGCTCCCAGGCTGCATGTCCATCCGACACGCGCCCTGGAGGCCCACAGCGGCCTTTAGGCCGCAGGTACGGTTGAGGCAGCACTTATTGATTTATTTATTTATTTGCTATCCTATTTTTGTCTGTTCAGACGTCGTTTCGAACTTGCCGTCCCCAAGGCAAGGCCTTGGGCTGGATACACCAGGACAGAGGGCCGATCGGGGCCAGGCACACTTTGGCGCCCTGCTGCATCAGCAGCACAGTCCGGACACCCAGTAGGAGCCCCGACCGTGCGGGCCGTTTCAGGCCACGCTGTAGCACACCCAGTCGGGCCCAGCGCTACATATAGCTGGGCCTCGGCTGGGTGGAGGACAGTTCGGGTAGCTCACTTCTTGAGCAACACGCTGCTGGATTAGCGCTGTGCTGCGTAGCGCTGCGCTCAGAGGTTAGATGTAGAGGATAGGTAGGCAGAGGGGCGGAGGCCATACCTGCAGTAGCGGACCTGGCGCCATAGCCGGGGTCCGCGAGCGCCGACCTCCACATGACGACAACGTAGCGATGGGCAGCGCCGGTGGCACTTACCCGCAGGTGAGACAGCGAGGAGGATGACATCTTCTTCTTCTACTTTGTCCAGTCTCCCTCTCGTCTCCCTCCTTCCTCCTCCTTCCTCTTCCTTTCCTCGTCTTCTTCTTCTTCTTCTCCTTCTTCAGATAGAGAGAAAGACGCACACACACACACACAC